TAAGGTTTTGTTTCTCATCTGTTTGCACATTGAAGCAGAGAAGTTGATAATAATCAAACAACCACACACAAGATGAGTTTCAGGTCAATCCAACTAGAGAAATAGAGCCATCACTTTCTACAAACCACAGGAACCAATCCCCACAATCATCAGTATACTGCATCATAAGACCCTTCAAAGAATCTGAACTGAATAGATTAACATAAACTCGATCGAGTCATATTCAAGCAACCATCATGGAAGAGAGTTTAAAGGAAAGTACCAGTCAGATATAAGTTTGCCCAATACTCAATGTGTTGATGAAATGTAAGAAGTAAAATCCACTGGCAAATATATCTTAGGATTCTTCGGATCAGGGACCCAATGTATCTCACTCATGTTTGGTTTCTCCACATAGGCCATGGTAAACTCTCCCACTTTTTCTGCCTTGCCTCGCTTACCTGCCCGTAGTACATGGTTATTGCGGTTATTGCGAATATAAGAAAAGATGCCATTTTCTAACCGGATGATATCCCCAGGTTCAAAAACATCACATTCATCACCCCACATTTGAAAGTGAACCGCAGCTGTCTCATCTGCAACTAGTGCCAAACATGTCTTGTGTTGCCCTTCTAAATCTATCCTCCCTTTGTCCAAAACAATAAACTTTGTGTTTATATTGTTCAATGCAGCAGGTACGATGTCTTTTAGAAACTGCATCCTTTGACAATATGATACAATATCTGCAACCAAAAATTTCCAAACTGTCTTAATTACCTCAGGCAAACAAAAAATTTAACTTTTCCGCACTCTTTTTCCAATCAAAAATTTAATGATTATTTTCACAACGTATTGGTCATATTTACTATATTCTCCTGATTACATAATATGTAATTGCTTTAAAGGTAAATTTTGTTTATAAAATTTGTTTGCATTTCACCAAATTTTCTTAAAGAAGATAACACAACCATCATATTTTACTATTACCGGCATAATTCTACCCTGCTACCAAAGGAACCCTTAGTGACAAACTATTTTTCCTGGGGCATTTTAACAAACACAAGGAGTGCATAGCTCTCTATTAGAAAGAAAGAAGAAAACAACATACTTTATTGTTGAGACTATTACCCCAATAGTAGGTTACTGTTTGAAGCATATAGAAGTAATTAGTATTTAAATATGGTTGAAGGCGTCAATTGATCAGAAATAGTATGTTATTTTCAACTATAATATCACAACTTCCAATTTCAAATGCGAACTACTGAAAAACAGAAACCCAATATAGAAAATCCAAGAACCAATTCAAAACCATCAATGTAAGCTCAAAAACCAACTTATAGGCACAAACATCATGAAACAAGATTTACCATTGCATGGCATAAGCAGTCATCCATATTCTACGATTTTTTAGTATAATATCAGACAGCTCCCCTCAATGTTCAAATTCCAACTAATAAGGAAGAGAACTACGGTCAATATAAGAAATCCAAAAACATCAACGGAAGCTCAAAACTAACTAAAAGACACAAACTTTATGTAACAAAGATTTACCGTTGCATAGCATAAGCCGTAATACAAACTCTAAGAATTCCCCAGTATAATATTACACAATTCATCAATGTTTATACACTTATTCTACCAAGAAACAGAAAGCCTATTCACGAAAAGTCAGAAAGGATCCAAATCATCAATTTAAACTCCAAAACCAACTAAAAGACACGAACTTTCTGAAACAAGATTTACCATTGTATGGACTGAGCCGTTATACACACAATTACAACTGGCATAACAACGACACTAGACGAAAAAAAATAAAAAATAAAAAAGAAACTAATTGACAAAGATACACACTGGTTTAATCAAAAAAATGCCTTCATTGTAAGGCGGTTAACTCTTTCGAATAATTTTTTCAACAAATTAGTTAACGACTGCAATTGAAGTCTCTGGATTCAACAAATTAGTTAACTACTTTCATTACCTTTGAGATCGCAGGATGGATGTGCGGCACTGCTGCTGCTGCTGCTGCGACGGCGACGTGCGGCATTGTTGCTTCTGCGACGGCCACGGCAACGGCGACGAATTGCGAGCAGCGTGAAGACAGAGACTCGAGAGGGACGGGTTTCACCTTTTTGAGGGGAAGGGGAAAATAATTGTCAGCCAACAATTAAAGTACAGGAAAAATGACAAATATATTTGAAAATTATATATCATGTATTATTATAAATAGGAAACTCTTAATCTCAAAGTTGATTTATTATTTTACCCTTCATTTAAATATTTTTCTTTATTTTTTTAAATATAAAAAATATTTTTAATAAATAAGTAGATAATAAACTTTAAAGTAATAATGAAAGATAAATAGTCATTCAAACAAATGAAGTCCAAACATTTCAAAACATCTCTTATTTAATTTGAAGTTAAAGAATTTGAAGAGTTCCATTGATAAAATTATATACATGATTTTTCCAACAAAATACATTATTTTGATGTTTTCTCGTGACAATAGCATGTGAGTTGATTTACCTCACAAAATTCTTCTTCAAAATTTTCATGTTTCTTTTGATCAATAAATTTTAGACACATATGTATATAGATAGAACTAATATTACATGTTTTGTTTTATTCTTTTCATAGAAAATTTATATTTTTATCGCAACATGTGATAAATAATTCTAAAGAGTTTTTCATTTGGACAAAAAGTCTGCTCAACATTCATAAGGTAAAATAAATCTACTTGTGTGAGAAAGAATATGTATGTTGTTTCGTTAATTTATTGACGGTAAATTCTTGGAGAATATAGATATCTGAATTAGAATTTAATCATTTCAGTGCATTCGATGCATTCTTCAAGAAGGTTAAAGGCGTCATGACATTTATTTGTTGTTTGGTAAGTATTATTTTTCATTTCAATGTTGCATAATTTTACTTGGTTCATTGTTTGTTACATTCATTTTTTCGGTTGAAATAATGTAAATTTACGAATATTTATACTAAGTAGCGTGCAATACAAATATATTTTTTATTCTGAAATTCAATTTTTTTAAGTATGCATACATTTTGTAGTAATTACAAGGGACAAATATTCAACGCACGTTATTAGAAACTAGTATATATATATATATATATATATATA